GGTGTTCTACTCAGTGCCTGGTGAACTGTGAGGTCTTCCGATCTGTCTGATGGGAGCAGGCACTATGCCAGGCCCTCTGTGCTCACCCAGCCGGTGTGCTGCAGCACAGTCCTTTCCTGCAGTTCTTTCTTTGGCTTTGGGCAGTGCCTTCTCATGTAGGCGCCCATCAGTTTCTGCTGCATCCTCAGCTGGGTGAGGAGGGTACCTGCACATCTCCAGGGTGCTCTCTAGGCAACTCTCTCCTCTTGCATCCTGTACTGTGAGTTTTGGCCATGTCGGGCTCCCCCACTCTGAGCCCTGCCTCCTATGCCCGCTGAGACCACTGGGCTCCACCTGGTGCCTTCCCTCTGCTGAGGTCTGGGAACCCTGAGGGCAGTGAGCCGGAACATGTGTCCACTAGGACTGTATATTGTGAAATCTTGTCTTGTCACTATTGTTTTGGATTACTTTTTGTCTTGCATTTGAAAGATAGCTAAACACACAGATAGTTATTGTGGTAGTGTTTTCACAGCTTATGTGTGTACAGCTAAATTGTTGTAAGTGCATTCTGCAGAAGGATTGGCATCTTCTTGCAGTTAGAGTGAACCTTTGCTGAAAGTAGCTTCTTTAAAGAAGTATAATTTTTTTAAGTGTGAAAGACAATAATGGTCCTGGTAGTTAATCTGCAAAATAGAAAAATGCATACTGCAGTGTGTTTTACAAATTACAGGAGGTCAAATTACAGAAATAGAACTGTAATGTTAAGAGTTGAACCCAAACTTACAGTAGTAACAGTAAACTCCAAATTTTTTGACTTAGAAAAAATTGGAAAACTATTTTCTATTCTGTACTTTTCAGAAATAAGATCTATTTTTTTCTCATATCATATTAGGTAACAGATAGCCTAGTAAGTAGTTTTATTAATGACAGAGTATGATCACTGCTATCTAGGCATTGTTGTTATAAATTCAAATGTTTCTCTTTTTAGAAAAACAATCCCAAATATTAGGTCAACGTGGGACACAGGAGTAGCATCTTGCCACTGGCCAGGAAAGTTTGAAGACAGTCCCAACTTTGTTTCTGTCTCCCCCTGAATCATCAAAGCTTAATGCACAGCCCACCACTGTTACTACTTCAATAATATATTGTCATTTGTCTTTAAAAATAGCAATCAGGGGGTTTATAGTCAGCAGTATTAACCATTTCAATGTTGTGAATCACTAAAACTTTAAAATGCAATCAGAACAGTACGGACTGTAGGGAGTATGTGGTACTGGGGGCTGACCCTCAACATCTCCGGTCAAGAGACGCCCCCACGTGTATTCATATTTGTAGCCCTGATTTTAGTCTGCCACTCTTTGACCTGGAAAGCTTCGTCATTCCTCTCCATGCCTGCCCTCTCCTGTGTGACCCGCAGTAACTTCTAGGATCTGGGTCATTTTTATCACGGTGCTGCTGCTTCGCTTGATAGTTTTTGTTCCTGAGGCCGACTTCCCTCACCAGGTTGTGTATTAAGAGAGATTCTTGTAATCAGAGGCCTTTTGTTTCATCAGTTGGTATGTGTTGGGTGTTTTGTGTGTGTCAGTGCCTCCTGGCTACTTGTACCTAGATCTCTCCAAGTGTCTGTGTGAGCTCTGGGCTGTCTTGATTGTAAAGGTGAGGAAGCCGAGTCCTGATTTAAAGTAGTTGTCTCAGTCTCCCAAATGCCCCACTCTGCCTCATCCCTGCAGAAAGGTCTGGATCAGAGCTGGCATCCTGACGTCTTCCTGCTTTGTCTCCCGCTTCCTGCCACAGGTGGCTGATAATGTTGTTGGAGCTCTGTCACCGACTTGGAGAACATAACCACAGACTCACAGAGTGGCCGCCTGTCCTCCCAGCCTGTGATGGTGGAGAGCAGCCATCCCTGCACAGACACTTCCTCCAGTGGCACAGTGCAGATACCAGGTACTCAGGGCTGGTCCCAGTGAGGAGATGGGGGGGCCCTGCCTGTAGAATAGCTTCATTTTTTTTGCCATCGCTTCAGTAGAAGCAACTGTCATTGTTTTATAGAAGAGCTACAGAATTGCACAACTCCTTCCTTGGGTTTGATGATCTTGCTGGAGCACCTCGCAGAACTCAGAGAAACGTTTACTTATGTTTACTGGTTTATTATAAAGTATAGGAAAAAGGGTACGGGTGAATAGTCAGATGAAGAGGGGCACAGGAGGGTGTTCTGTAAACGTCTGTGAGGTCAAGGTGTAGGTGGTCTTGTTGAAATCGTCTGTACCTTTACTGATTTTTACTTGTTCTGTCAGCTATTGAAAGTTGAGCTTTGAGATCCCAGGTGTAATTGTGAATTTGTCTCCTTTTTATGTTTCTATCAGTGTTTCGTTTGTGTGATTTATGTCTTTGTTATTAGGTGTGCATATCTTGTTGTTACATATTCCCATTTTTGTTTGACCCATTTTTCACTGTGAAATGCCCCTCTTTGTCTCTATTAACATTTGAGTCTAAAGTTTATCTTGTTATGCACCTTTTAGTTAGGTCTTGCTTTTTCTTAATCCAAGCTAATAGTCTGTCTTTTGGTTGAGATGCTTAGACTGTTCACATTTAATGTAACTATATAGATTTGGTTGGATTTACAATCTCTTACACATATGTTTGGGGATGTTTTTATTTTGCCTTCGTTTTTGAAAGAGAGTTTTGCTGGATATAGAATTCTTAGTTGCTAGAATTCTTTTCCTCTTACCACTTTAAAAGTTTCTTGCATTCATTGCTTCTCAGAAGAAGTCATAATCGTGTTTTGTGTCTTTTTTCCTCTTGTGGCTTTCATGATTTTCTCCTTCTCTTTGGTTTTCAACAGCTTCAGTCTAATGTGTCTGAGATGTGGATCTGTGTTTATCCTGCTTGGGAGTTGTTAGTTTTTGGAGCTGTAGATTAATATTTTTCATCCAATTTGGTGTTTGCGGCTGTATCTGTTAAGATACTTTTTCTGCCCCTTTTTTCTCTTCCCTCTTTTTCCTGTGGGGGTGGTGCAGAATTCCCATTATGCGCGTTTGTATACTTAATGTGGTCTCGCAGGTATTTAAGACTTTAGTTTGTTTTGTTTTAGTTTTAATTTTTTAGTGTTCTTTTAAAAACTTTTTTTTTTATTGAGTTATATTCATTTTACAATGTTGTGTCAAATTGACTTCATTTCTATTCAGTCTTTTTTCTTCTGTTCTCCAGATAGAGAGTAATAGAAATTGCACAGCCTTAAAATTGTATAGTGATTCTTTTATTCTGCCACTTCAGAGCTGCTGTTTTGTCCAGCTAGTGAATTTTTCATTTCGGTCATTGTACTTTGCACCCCCAAAACTTCCTTTTAGTGCTTTTTTCATTAAATCATTGTCATCATATTTTCCTTTGTTACCATGTTTTCTCTGGCTTTTTGAACTCTTTGAGCATATTTACTACAGCTGCTTTGAAGGTGGTGTCTGCTGAATCCAGCATGTGGCCCATCAGTTAGTTTCTGTTAACTGATTTTCTTCCTGAGGACGGCTCACACTTCCCAGGGTTTTTGCATAGCTCATAATTTTTTATTAAAAAACTGGACGTTATAGATTGTGATATGTCACCTGGATTCTGACCTTTTGTTTTTAAGATGTGTAAATGTCCTACAATTCTTGGACTGTTTTATATGTTTATTTTGTAACATACCTGGAATTACTCTTTGAAATTTCTCTCGTGAAGTCACATAGCTACTGAGGTCAGAGCTTCGCTTTTCTATTTTCATTTTTGTTTTTTAGCCTGAGTTCTAATATTTGCTCTATATCTGCTTGGCATAGCGCCCAAGCCTGCGGAATTTTCCATTCTGTGGATGCGGAATTTTCCATTCTGTGGCTGGATCTCTGCATGGGTGGGGCAGGGAGGGCGTGGAAGTCAGTGTTCTGGCAGTTTTCCTGTCTGTGTACCCGGCTCTTCCTGCACTCTTCATATGCACTGGGTCATCCGAGCCTCCAGGAAGTTCTCTCTGAGCCCTTCTCTGCTCTTTGACTTCCAAGATCTTGCTAGATCTCTGGCTAGTTCTCAGGTCTGGGATCAGGGTGCCCGGGCGGGAATGGGAACCGCCTCCAGCCCGGCCCGCGGAGCCCTGTAGCCTGGATACTAGCTGTGCTGGATCCCCTACTGGGGGCAGTCCTATGGTGACCAGAGCCCAGACTTCCCTGCCCCACCTGCAGGGAGAGGGGTGAGGGGGTCAGCTCTGGGTATGGGGGCGCTTGAGTGAGAGGGGACCCTGAAGTGAGGGGGGACAGGCTGAGGGGTAAGGGGCCGGTCCAAGTGGAATTGATCTAGCTGAGGGGGGCCACCTCAAGATGTTGGGTGTCCTGCAGTGAGGCATGAGGGGTGAGCTTGTGGTGTCAGGGCCATAGGTTAGTACCTAGCGGGGTGCAGTGTGCGGGCGGGGACCTGGGTGTGAGAAGGAGCCTTGGCCTGGGGGTCCGGTCTGTCACTGGGCCTGGCCAGGGGTGGGGGAGCAGTAACGGGGAGGCTGAGGCGAGCAGGTGGAGTGGAGCTGGAGGCTGTGGCCTGGTCTGGGCCAGTGGTGGTTCTGGTTGAGTGCCAGGACCTGGTCTGTGGCAGAGAGACAGGGCGTTGGGTATGAAGACTTGGCGGGGTGGGCCTGCCCCACCGCCCCACCGCCAGGCCCCGCTAAGCCCCTCTAGGCCTGACTCGCCATGTCCCAAACAGCAGGAGCCCCAGCCCAAGGGTCTGCGCTGCTGGGGGTGGGGGCGGGGGCTGTGCATGCGAGGACACGGGAGCGCGCCCAGAGCGTATGGAAGCTGGGTGGGGGCCGGGTGCTCCTGCACCAGCTTTGGAGGAAGAAGACGGCCTGGGAACTGGGCCGTCGCTTGCCATCGCCTCCCCTCCTGCCGCTGGTGCCAGGCAGGGTAAGGGGACGCTGGTGGGGGCACGCCGGTCGGGAGCTGGCGGGTGAGGCCTGGGCTGCGCAGCTGGGGAGGCGCACAGGTAGGGGTGCGTGGGTGAGGCCCGGGCCGCGCGGCTCGTTAGGACCCTAAGGCAGGTTCGTGGTGCTCCACCCCCCACGTCCGTAGTCCCTGAACCCCACTTCTTCATTTCTCCGCTGCCACTTGTACCTGGGTTTGGGGAAGCAGGACACCCCCGGGAGATGGGAGGGCGCAGGACGCCCCGGAACACCGCCGACCGGCCCTCATGTCATGGCCTGCTCTCGGGAGGCCGGTGGTGTGTTCACTGGCCCCAGGCGTCGGCCGCGGTGGGATGGGGGCTGCCAAGTGCGAGTACGTGGATTTGTTTTCTATTCTCCGGAGGCCTGGGCCGGGTTCTGCTTCCCGTGTTTTTGGGGTGCACGTCTGGCGGTTAGCCTGCTCTTGGGAGGTGACGCGGTGCTGTCAGGGTATGGGGGGTGAGGGGCGGTATCCTCGGCGCAGGCGGCTCGGGGAGAAAGGTCTGCCTCTTGGATCCTGTTTTGCATCCTGTCCTGGGGTATGGCTCTGCTTCCTTAGATTCACAGGATGCTCATCTGGTGGTCAGCCAGCTCCCAGGAGGCAGGCGTGGTGTAGTCAGGGAGCAGGGGCAGCTGGGGATGGGGCCTGCCTTGGAGAAGCTGGCCCATTTGCTCCAGTCTCCCTTGCGGCCTGGCTTGGGGGTGGCCTCTGCTGCCCCAGGTGGGCGGGGGGCGGGGGCCACCTGACCGTACCAGCTGACCCCATCTCACCAACCTCCAGTAAGTAAACTGGGAAATGTGTGTCCTGCCACTGGGGGCAGCAGAGGGTGCCCACAAGCCAGGTGTTGGGGAGACAGGGAAGCCTGGGGCAAATCCAAAGGCTTCCGCAGGGCAACCCTCCTCCCCTTGCCATTAGCTCTGTATTCTTGCTAGATTTTAAAATCTTGTCAATCTAGTGTATGTGTAATATTTCATTATGTTTTAAATGTTGCATATTCTTGATTATTAATGAGATTGGTGGCTTTGTTATATTTGTTGGCCATTTAAATTTCCTTTCTGTATTGTGCTTGTTCGAGTCTTCTGCCCATTTTTCTGGTGGAATGTCTTTTGTCTTAATTGATCTGAAGGAGTTCTTTATGTAGCTGGATGTTAAGTCTTTTTGTCAGTGATACCTGTTGTAAATATCCTCTCTGGCTTTTTTCTTTGGTTCTTTTTAATAAAAACTTTTTTCTCAAGTAGTCAAATTAATTTTTTCTTTCCATATCAAAGGAGAAGTTCTCCTATATTATTATCTAGAAGTTTTTTTTTTCCATCTTTAAATCTTACATCCATCTGAAAGCAGTTTCTGTATATGGTTTGAGGTGGAGAGCCATCTAATTTTAAAAAATATGGATGCCTAGCTCTCCCAGCAGCAGTTATTTTGAAAGGTTGCCTTTCCCCATGCTCAGCAGTGCGGCCTTAACATGAGTGTAGCAAGGGTCTACATGCTTGGGCTGTTTTTCTGGGCCCTCTTCTGTTTGATTGATCTTCGTCTCTACATCAGTACCACACTGTCCTAAATATTGTTGCTTTATTATAAGTCTTGATATCTTTAAGAGAGTATTGACTGTTCCTGACCTTTGATACTTCCAAATACACTTTAGAATCAACTTGTCAAATTCCACCCAAAAACGTTTTTAACCTTCTGATTCTAATAGGGGTTGCATTGAATCTGTCATTCAGTGTCAGTTTAAATTGACATCTTTACATCGTGAGTCTTCTATTTAGTGACCATTTGGCATAACCCTTTATTCAGTTATCTTTCTATAAAGTTTTAAAATTTTCTCTGTAGAGATTTTTCATCTCTAGATTGTTAGGTTTACTGTCACAACGGTATATTTTTTAGCACAACAGTGCTATTAACGTTAAAAAGTTTTTTATTTCTAACGTGTGCAGTATTTACTATAAAATTTTTTATGGAAGTCTTTTATTTCTTGTATGCTAACAG